ACTTTTTTACTGCATTGTAGTTGAATTATTGATTTTGTTTTACATAGTTGCAGTGTTACAGTCACACCCATTCATAGGTGTGTGTGTGTACAAGTGTGTGTCCGCGCGTGTGTGAGTTGGTGTGTTGATTTTGCACTCTAGATGTTTTAGAGTTTCACCCCTTCATTGCTGTGCAATTTTATTCTGCATTGTGGGGGATTTGTAGATTTTACACACAAACATTTTCTGTATTTTCGATTTTTTTCCCCCATTTCCCATTCATTTCCTATGGTCGGTCATTTTTGACTGAAGACCATGAGTGTGACTATTTGTTTTACTTCCACTTAGCTCTTTCGAATCATGCCCTCAAATTTTTTTTGTGTTCACATACCAAGTGCCATAAAAGTCTCCAAGTTTCGTACCATTCTGGTGAAGCTATGATTTAAAAAAATTCAAAATGTAAAATTCTCCGGTCAGAAGTGACTGGAGACCGCACAAGGTCTTCGGGAAAGGTCCAGGAGGTGGGATTCGAACTCGGGACACCAGAAGCGCAATTGTGCCACGGCGACGAACTAAAATTAGTTTTAAGTTAGTAAAGCTGTCACACGATCCTTACATAGGCCTACCTATCTTATGAAACTTTAAAAAAGTTATATCAGACAAATTTAGCCTCTTTTATGTTCAAGAAGTGAAGATTTGACAATCAAAATGTGTTATGATTTCAATTAATTAAAAAAAAATTCATATACAGTAACTGCCATAAATGGGGAAAAACAAACTAGATTTGTGCCAAGCCTCGAATGTTTACAATGACTGGCATCGCCTCTAGTTTTGACTACTTTTTGTATCTGGAATAATTATATCTCTAGGTAAGGAATAAGGAAATTTAAATAAATTATTTTAGATGAGCCTTATTGATTAATTTTGCCTGGGGCCCCCATTTGCCTCTGAATAATTTATGTGGTTGAGCAAGCTCCAAAAGCCTGATACATCGTTATGTCGTTACATCATTACATACAAATGACAATGAGCGAGTCATTGAATCATTTATTCAATCGATTCATTCAAATACACTGCGTGCGTCCCAATGTGCTACTATCCATCCTAAATTCTATTTGATTTTAGTAATTTTCAATACTATTTAGGGCAGATAGGGTGGATATAGTATGCACATTGGGACGCAGTGACTGACTAATTCAGAAACGAAAGGCTGTTCTTATGCGTGACTCATTGAATCGTTCATTCAAGCGATTCGTTCAAAAACACTGATTTATTCAAACAAGTTAGTTTCTTTCTGAGCGAGTCATTTGCGTCATATATTAGGCTTATATAGCGTTGCAGTATTGTAAATAAATTCCCTGCTGAAAAAAATAGCCTAAACCAGACTAAGATGGTTTGCTGGTCTGAGCCGGTCTCCCAGCCTTACCCTGCAGGGCTGATGGCTGGTTTTGATGGGGTTTGGGCACTTTTTTCAGATGGTCAGGCTAAACCAGCTAAACACTAGCTTGACCAGGCTGGAAGACTGGCTTAAACCGGTTAATTCAAGTTTATTTGTATAGCGCTTTTCACGATACAAATCGTTGCAAAGCAACTTTACAGATTAAGACCAGCTGTACTCAGTTAAAACCAGCAGTGAAGCACATCATTTAGTATGAACGTTGTAACAGCATTAGGCTGAGCTTTATGAAATCATAAATAATCTTTATTTTGTTCTGCTTGACTAGGCACTTCAACAGCAGAATGACTTTGGGAAAATATATCCATTTAAGGAACAGCGCAGCTCCCTCCAATGGATTGGGAAGGAATTGCACAAGAATACTGAAGTTCTTACAGGTGCATCTCAATAAATTAGAATGTCATGGAAAAGTTCATTTATTTCAGTAATTCAGCTCAAATTGTGAAACTCGTGTATTAAATAAATTAAATGCACACAGACTGAAGTAGTTTAAGTCTTTGGTTCTTTTAATTGTGATGATTTTGGCTCACATTTAACAAAAACCCACCAATTCACTATCTCAACAACTTAGAATATGGTGACATGCCAATCAGCTAATCAACTCAAAACACCTGCAAAGGTTTCCTGAGCCTTCAAAATGGTCTCTCAGTTTGGTTCACTAGGCTACACAATCATGGGGAAGACTGCTGATCTGACAGTTGTCCAGAAGACAATCATTGACACCCTTCACAAGGAGGGTAAGCCACAAACATTCATTGCCAAAGAAGCTGGCTGTTCACAGAGTGCTGTATCCAAGCATGTTAACAGAAAGTTGAGTGAAAGGAAAAAGTGTGGAAGAAAAAGACGCACAACCAACCGAGACTTTTTGAAGATGCTGATTTCATTTTCCAGCAGGATTTGGCACCTGCCCACACTGCCAAAAGCACCAAGAGTTGGTTAAATGACCATGATGTTGGTGTGCTTTACTGGCCAGCAAAGTCACCAGACCTGAACCCCATAGAGAATCAGTGGGGTATTGTCAACTGTGTGCATTGAATTTATTTAATACACGAGTTTCACAATTTGAGTTGAATTACTGAAATAAATGAACTTTTCCACGACATTCTAATTTATTGAGATGCACCTGTATATAAGTAATAAATGTTGTGTATTTGAAGATATGCTTCTTTAACATATGCTTCTTTATCTGCAAAAGTATAGATTGTGTAACAGCACTGAAAGTCTTTGTATTTTCTCTTAGGCCTGTAGAAGAGAGCTGGGATAGTCACCAGTTCAGGACTATGACTCAGATCATTATATAAACACTATTGTATTCAGCAAAGAGCTTCCACAAATGCATCATAAATCAATCAGACTCGAATAATAATCATAAGAGCTCTTGTCCTCCAGAGTTTTCAAGAGCACAGAAAACAAGCGCTGAAATCAAATTAAATAACGTTAAACTGAAAATTTGATATGTAAATTGATTCACGTATTGCCGAACAGCATAAGCAAAGGATCTATTGAATATTTTAATTGTAAGGATGCAACTAAATGTCTAGTAATGTATAGATTTAGCATGCATTCAGAGAAGATTGCTTTAGCATGTAGGATGTTGCCTTGTATACTGGTGCAACTATTTAGGCAATAATTCATCTTTATGAATACATGTATTAGCCTACTCTTGCACTTTTTAAGACTGAAGCACAAGAAAAATATTCATCAATTTGTAGAATTTATGAAGCGCACTTATTTTCCATCAGATGGCAGTATTGTTCTTCGAGTCTGCGGTTCAGCATCATGCATACTTGTTGTGTTCTGCTTACTACACAGTACATACTGTATAATGCTTAGATTTCAGCAAGCAGCATTTATATATCATATATCAAGCATTTATATATCAATAAAAAAATAAAAACAGATATTTGGACTAGTAAAACAATTGTACGAAAATTTATTTATTTACTGATCAAGTTATTAATAAGTGTTGATATTTCCATTCCATTTGTATATATTAATAATTTTTATCAAGAAAGAATATATTTATTTATTTATGTGCCCTCTATTTTTCTTCTTTATATGTTTTATTTACTTATTTATTTTAATATTTTAATTATCTATTTACAGATTCAATTATTTGTTTATGTTTATTTTCATATGTATTCAAAAAATGAGAGAGAGAGAGAGAATATATTTATTTATTTATTTCCTCCTTTATATGTTTACTTTTTCTAATGCCAAAATTCCTTTTTTCTAGTTTTTGGTTTATTC